TTTTAAATAAAATTCCTGAAAACAACTTGCGTATTTATAGAAATTGTTTAGTCGCTATGATGTCGCTATAAATAAAATGAAAATATTAAAAAATGGTGTCACGTTTTTCGTATTCTATTCAACAATTTTTGTTAAATTAATTATTAGTTAAAAGCTTATATTACGTTTTAACAACATGTAAGATCTAAATTGAAACATGTCTATGGCAAACTTTTGCGAGTATATTAAATAAATTAATATAATTGTTAAATTAATACTTAAACAACTGTAAGTTACTATCTTAACTTAACTGGTTGTTTTGATTTAGGTTATAAGTTAATTTACTGTGATATTCATTTAGTAAAGTTAACTAAATATAACTTCAATAGTTTCAAGGTCGTTAAAAGCGAAAAACGTGAAAGCAAAAAAGTTGCTGGTTTCTATTAGTACAATTTTACTAATAGAAATTTTATTTAATAAAAACGAATTAATATATATTTTATTATACTTAAAGTAGTAAAAATAACTATATAAAATTATTTATAAAATAATAATTTAATTCATTATGAATAAGTTATTTAGAGCAACGTTTTTTTTAAAAAAAGATAAAAATGCTGTTTTGTTGAAAAAAATAGAAGGGTAATTCCACATAAAATCACCCAGTCCATTGAACCATGTGTCTTCTTTTTGTTATATATTTTGACACATTCCTAATTATAAAAAAAAATTGCATGCAAAATTTCAGCCAAAAATGTTGAGCGGTTGACAAGATACTGCAATTTTAATATTGACCTGGTTTCCCAAAATGACCCAGTTTACATAACATTCTAAAAAAATATTTTTCTTAAAAAAATAAGAAATAAAAATGGCAAAAATATAAAAATAAACATATATAATATTTTTTTGATGCTGAATTTAATAAATGTACTTAAAATGCTGAAATATAAAAGGAACAAGCTTAAAAGTTAATAAAACAACTAGTTTCTATAAACCAACTTTGGGGCCCAATATCTCAAAACACCCCCGTCAAATTTTTTTTTTTTTTTTGCTGTTAATATATTCAGCTGCTTATAATCTTACTAGGCACAAAATATCTAACTGGAAAAACAACTGAAACATATAAAACTTTAATATCTAAGGTGTATTACTTTTTCAAGAAATTCCCAAAAAATGTTTGTAAATAAAATAGAAATAAGTTAATCATAATTTAAAAATGTATTTAAATATACAAGATTTTTCAAGATGCAAGTTATTTTGACTGTGTTTGTAATAGTTCACAATATTGTTCCCATTTTACTTGTACTTCTTCTATTTCAGCATTTTCAAACATATAGTTTCTACTGAAACTAGAGCAAGCTTGTGGAACAGATAGTTTTTTCAATATGTTGGTGTAAGGAATAAAACAGTAGTCCTCTCTTTCAGGCCAGTTAAAACAGATTGATGGACCTTTTGGGAAAAGAAACTTAACTTTAACATCAACTTCTTCTAGGTTAGTTTCAGTTACAATGCTGATCCACCACTTATCATCATAGACTACAGCTACATAACCTCCTAAAATGACAGTATCAAGTTGAAATATATCTTGTTTCCTTTTAAGGTTGTGAATTATTGTATAATTAGTGTCTGTACTACACCTCTTTGCCCCAACCCTGTTATCTCCCAGATGTATAAATTGATGAAAGCTACGAGTACCAGGTAGAGTTGTTACACCAGTGTACTTTTCTTTTTGCTCCTCACGTTGCAATTGTAAGTCTATCCCCTTTATGTAAATGAAGTTAACAACCTTGATTTTCTCAATACAAAATTCATACATAGCTTCTGATCTGAGAATTTGGTTTCTGTATGGTCGTTTTAAACTTTCTTGTGCTGTTAACCTTTTTACGGTGCCGCCAATTCCATCGCATAGTGACTTTCCGTGTGACGTGGCAAAAAAGGGAAAATTCGCTCTCTAGTTGGCATAGATTGTAAAAGCTTTTACAATTTTTGTACTGTCCTGCGCAACCATCAGTAAATAGATGTAATTTGGACAGATTGGAAAATTTTGTTTTTAATATTGGTATGATTAGTTGAAATATTTTGTACACATAAGTTACATTGTGTGTAATGTCATCTGATATAAAACAATAATAAAATATGTTTCAGTACACCTTTATCATCTTTATAGTATATCACTAATGGATGTAAAGAACATTGTTGGCTGTTCCAATGATAGCTTTGTATTTCATCTTGGACTACAAAAGTATAATTTTCAGCAAAGTCGCCAATAATGATAATGTTTGATTGATCCATATTTTGTTTTAGTTGGTTAAGGTACTGCGATTGAGAGTGAGCAATAAAAGAATGAGCTTGTAGCTTTTCAAAGCAAGATACTAATTGTTCAACAAATGTTGAAACATCTGCTGTTAAACTCAATAGTGTTGCACGATCAGTAGTTTACCATTGCTTGTAGTGTATCTCAAAATCATCTTTGTATTCTCCGAAAACCTCATACATATATTTGGTGAAGGTTTCTTTACCAGGACAATTATCACCCTGTGCAAGCATGCATTCTTTGTTTTCTACTGAGCAAACGGTTTTCGAAAGTAAATCCTTATACTTTAGTCCAATATTTAAGGCATCTACTAGCAATATGGTATTTTGGTGATAACAACAAACACAAACAGAAGTTGTACCATTTGCACCTGGCAAAATGCACCACTTTGGTCTAAGTGAAACAAATTTTGAGTAACTTATTTGTATTTCTGGATTGTTTTCTTTGTATAATACATATAGTTTTTTAAATTACACAAAAGCAGTTTTTTTTGTTTATGGATATTCTTTTGAATGCTAACATAATCTTTTTTTCCAGACATAGTTCTACATAAATCACTTGAGTCATAAAACAATTTAACAGAATCTTCTATTTCTTTGTGAAAGACTTTACCTTTATACAATGGAGAGATAGCTAACAATCCTTTTTTATTAAAAATTTGTCTAGCCATTTTTGCTTGGTATTCTGTAACTGCAAAGTTTTTTGTACTTTTAATATCGACCAACTTGGGGGTGCCAGTGTTAGAAGTTGAACAATTGTCCTTTTGTCAGAACATAAATTTTTTTCTTTTATCAAGCTCATAATTTCATCAAAGTTTTTAGCCTTCTTTTTCATGTTATTTGTTTCATAACACAGTTTTGAGGGAACATTGACTTGACTTTCAGTTTTTCTAGTAACGTTATTTACCATTTCATTGATGCGCGCAATTTTTAGCTTTCCTTCTGAGAGAATATGTTTTGATGACTTTGAATGAGATTTTAGAGGAGATATATAGAAATTTTTGAGTTCTTCATTGATCTCCTGTCTTTTTGATTTGAATGATGATATTAGAAAATCCTCATCTTGTTCCTGGCTTTGTTTCTTTTCTTTAAGATCTTCTTTTATGGCAATCTTTTGCTTACAAGGTTTGCGAAGTTTCTTCTCAGGAGCAATATTCAAACTACTTCTCATCATGACTTGTGACTCATTTATTGTAACTACAATGAGATTTTCTAAAAGTAATTGAATTGTATAAAGCTTATCTGCACAATTGTTCAAAACATTGTTTATGTTTTAGAAAATACAAATTAAAAAAGTATACACATATATATATATATATATATATATATATATATATATATATATATATATATATATATATATATATATATATATATAATATTTAAATTCTACATCAATTAACTTGTGATTTTCTTTGTATGTTTATTAAATGGATCACAACATGATTTCTGCCATATAGGATACAATTTCAAATATTTTGTAGTATGTCTTTCACATAATTCGTTAAGTTTGATAACTCAATGTTACAGCGTAATGATATAGTTATTTTTTCTTCATTGCTTAAAGTTTTAATAACATCTTGTTGGCCATTGCATTCATCTGATGTCAATAAACCAATAGAACACATCTTATAATAAGTTACTTAGTATGAATGTATTTCCTAAAAAAAAAGGAAAAAATTGTTCTTTTCTACATAATTTTGAGTAAAAAAAAAAATGAATATAGAAATAATTCAAACCTTTTCAGAATCTTTTTGTTGTATAATTTTTTACATTTATAGATATTGTTAACTTTCTTTATAAATACTTTTTGAAACTTTTTGAAAGTTATTCCGTAGCTCTGTTATCCATGTTCGTAACTTCCATACACGGTCATCTGCTTTTTCTTCCTTAGATATTTCCAAGTTGTTTACAAAATGAATATTTCGAAGGATAGTTTCAAATTTATTTCTACCTATAATAAAAGAAACTCCGTTGTAGGTCATAAATGTCTCCCAATATGATCTTTGACTTGGAAGCTTTACCAAACCCATTCTGAGATAAGCACCTATAAACTTCTCAATATCCTTTTTTGAGATATTTTTCTCTGAACCTTTTGATTGCAGAATATAAATATTACTTTCATTTGTGATGCTGTTCAACATATTATCACTTACAAACAATTTGAAATATTCAAAGGGTGTTGTTTCCACATTTGGTGTTGGTTTCATTTCAGGCTCCTTGAAAGTTACATCATCAAGGGATTCAAAGTTCTTACTTTTCTATTTGTAAATACTTGGTTTATTCTTATTGGGGTTATTAGTTGTCTCTTTAAGATTCTTAGATAGTCTTGATGCTATGTTTGCTAAAGGCAAACATAGCATCAAGACTATCTAAGAATCTTAATATATATATATATATATATATATATATATATATATATATATATATATATATATATATATATATATATATATATATATATATATATATATATATATATATATATATATATATATATATTAAGATTCTTAATATATATATATATCTAAGAACCTTTATATATATATATATATATATATATATATATATATATATATATATATATATATATATATATATATATATATATATATATATATATATATATATATATATATATATATATATATATATATATATATATATATATAAGTTTGTTTCTAATTACATTTTTAATAGTGATAACTTACTCTTTTAATGATAAATCTGTGTGAAGTTGTTTTTTAACTAAACTTTTTATTTGCTCATCAACCAATGTCATATACTTTTCAGTTGGTGCTTCACCAAAACCAGCTCTACGCTTCTTTCCATGCGCATTCATTTTATGTTCTTAATTTATATATAATATTATTTTTATATAAAAATATATAGTTGCAAAATAATATGAAAGAAAAATTTAAAACCATTTCGAGAATCAATAAATGTATAAATGTAGATTTAGCTATGCATTAAGAATCATTGTGGTAATACATTAAAAGAGCAGTGGGAACTTCAGTACAGGGTAAAAATATATGAAATCATCCAAAAAAAATAATTTTCGACACCCTTACGTCTCAGAATTTGTTTATTTTTACACCACTTGCAGTCCATATCAAAAAAATAATAACTGCAAAAATTTTAGTTGAAAATACCAATGGGTTCCAGAGATATTGTCAGTTGAAATAATGCTGACTCAGCATTTTAGTGATTTTCTGAAGCGACTACAAAGCAACTTTGACATACAGTATCTTCATAATGGCTAGGGGAAATTCCTAAAATTTGGTACTCTAATAGATTTTAACTTGAGGAATCCAAAAATAGCACTCTTAAAACTCGATTATCTCAAGAAATGCCTCATTTATCCAATTTTGTTCAAAATTATTGACTTGTAAGTTAGTGATTTTTGGAGGTAAAATAAAGACTGTGGCCCAAAATTCCGAGTAAAAATTTTAATTGTATATCATTATTTCATCTTAGGTCTACTGAAAAAAATTAGATTCATCAATTGTCTCTCTAATACATGATCAAAATTTGCATTTAAAAATGGTGTCTTTTTAGAAAAATTTAAATTTTGTAACAAAAGTAATTAAAATATTTTTTTAAACATTTATTTGAATAAAATACCAAATAGTGTTATTTATTGACTAGTTTAAATTTAAATAAACATTTAAAGTCATGGGCCAAGAGAGATGCCCTCCCTACCCACAGGAGCCCCCTCTGCCCCCTCCCAAAATCTCCCTAGATTTTTTTTAAAAAAATGAATAAATAATAGTTGATTGTTAAAATACATTTTAAAAACATATTTTTTCAGTTTAAGTTTGAGAAACGATTTATTTGCGTTACTTCAAATCGATAAATACTTACCTCTTATTTCAAAGATCTCACGATTTTAAGTCATAAATTTCAAAAACAAATGTTTTAAAATGTTTTTAAAACATATTGACAATAAATATCTTTATGTAGTTTTAGACTAATATAGTCATTGACATAATAAGATGGGAGTGATTTGTGATTTATTTAAACCCCCACCCCTCCTTCTCAGCCTACAATCCAAGGATTTGAAAAAAATAAAAGACATTTAAAATGCAAATTAGGTAAATAAAATAAAAACAAAATTATTTTAAGCATAATTAATTTTTTTTTGTAACCAACAGTTTATATTCTCCAAATCTTAATCAGTTATGTTGTATGTACGACCTGATATTGTTGTGGGTGTAGAAATTAGGCATATAACTTCAGAATTGAGCACCCAACACTCATCAGTTTTTATTGGCCAAAAGAAGTTTTTACCTGGTCCATGGGGATGCATAAATCTGACTTTTATATCAAGCTCACTTACATCTTCAGCAATCCCTACCCACCAAAATCCATTATAAAAACATGCAATATAATCCATTTTTTTAATATTTAATGAAATATCTACATAATGTTTGCTTTTTGGAATGATATCAAATATTTCAGTGCATGCATCAATACTTATTTTTTTATAACTTATAGTGTTTGGGGCAATTGGAATAAAATGATGATACATCCTTGTGCCAGGAACTGTTCTTCCACCTAAATATCTTTTTTCTAATTGTGCTCGTGTTTGATCAATTTCTTCTTTTGAAAATAACTAAAATAAATTCCATTTATCTTGGCTTTACAAAAGGAGTACATTAAATTAACATCTAAAATCTGCCCAGTAGTTATTTGTTTTAGACTTTCTTGACATACTACTCTTATAACAGTCCCACCAATACCATCACAGGGGGATTTACCATGACTGGTAGCAAAAAATACCCATTCAGCATTTAAATCAAAGTCTTTACTGTGATGACAAAGATTGATAAAATTTTTAAAATTTTTAAATTGTGCTGCACAACCATCAGAAAAGTATTTCACACTTGATACATCAGGTAGATTTTCTTTGATATATCTAGTTATATCTTCCTGAGTCTTGTAAATAAATCCTGTGTCATGATCAACAACTTCTGAAAGGTAACAAAAAGATTTATGTTTGAGAAGTTTGTTCTCTATAAAATAAAGTACAACTGTATAAAGTGAGCATTGACTTTTGCTCCAGTGATAACTTTGAACCTCATCCTGAACAACATATTGATAGTTTTCAGCAAAATCTCCTAAAATTAACCATTCGTTTTGGTTAAGATTTTCATACAGTTTTTTAAGTATCTACTTTGTGTTTTTGCAATATATGAATGAGTGGTAAGGTTTTAAATACTGTCACATAATAAATCAATAAACTCATCTAGTGGCAATGACTGTGAAAGTAGTGTTGTACAATCTGTACTCTGCCATTGCTTAAATACTACATCTTCTTCATGCTCATGGTCCATAAATTCCTGCACTAAAAAACTTTTTAACGCTTCAATACCAGGACATTGGTTACATCAATGCAACATACATTCTGCATTTTCAAGAGAGCAAACAATCAATGCCATGAAAACTTTTATTCCACCTAATGGCATCAATGAGAAATTTTGTATTTTGGTGATGTATGCAAACACATACATTGTGGGTACCTGACACATTAGTTGTAATACACCATTTAGGTTTAAGAGTACAAAACTTTGACAAACTGACTTTGACGTTAGGGTAGTCTTTTTTTAATGCAACATGTAATTCATTAAGATTGAGTAGCAATAATCTTTTTTGAACATGTTGGTTTTTCTTAATACTTACATAATCTTTTTTTCCTGGCATCATTCTTGAAAATTCATCACTTTGATAAAAGTTAATCACTAAATTAACTGTTTCTGGTGAAAGTGGGTTTCCAGTTTTTTTCCCGGGTAATGATAGAATTCCATTCTCATTTTTAACTTTTCTTGCTGTTCGAACAAGATACTCAGACACTTCAAAGTAGCTTAATATCTTTTTACGTGTCCATGATTTTGGTGCGAGTGTTAACATTTGCACCTTATGGCGATAAGAGTCAGTCTCTGAAACTTTATTTTTTATTTCATACATTAAAATGTCTAGATCATGGTCATTGTTAATGTTGTTGTTTAAAATGGGGCTTTTTATTTCTGTTGTTAAAAAAGTTTCTTTAATATTATATGCTAATGAGACCATTTTTGCAACTCTGTCAATAGTGTTCTCAAACTTTTGTTTTGCTACAGGCAATTTGCTGTGTTTTGAAAGACTTTTTAGTTTGACCGGTGAGATTCCAAGCAATTCTATAGTGGTATCTAACTTAATTTTTTTCTCACTTTTTAATTCCCATTCCTCCTGTGAATTTAAATCTTCATCAGTTTCTATTGCTTTTTTGTAACATTTACTGCAGAATTTCCAACCTGGGGTTACATAAACATTATTTTTTTGCAAATAGTTTGCCATGTCTATGGAAATCTTTATATTACATAAAAAACAAATTTAGTTTTACGTTGTTAAAATAACTGAAATTATAAAACTTTTTATAAATAATAAATTGTTTTCTTTTAATTTCCATATCAATTCTGTTGTAAATAAGGTAAGATTACCTTTTATAGCAATTTTTTTACTTTCCTTGTGTGTTCCAAAAGGATTGCAACACTTTGTAATTTTTCTCTCAAAATATTTTCCATAGAATTGCTCATGATAACAACATATAATTCTTATTGAACTATATTTTTCCTTTAAATTTGCTCGCCATATTATTTCTTCTTGTTTTTCTCAAGGAAGATCTTTAAATTGAAAAACCTTGTTTTCTTGAAAATCCAGTTTTGTGGCAATGAATGTTAAGACTTTTTCTAATGTCACATTTCTTCATTTTAATTATTTTTATTATTTATTACCTAACAAAATAATATAAAAACTATAAAATTAAAAGTAATTCTTTAAGAAAATACAAACAAGTAAATACCTTTAAAAAGAACAAAACAAAACTCATGTTTGTTTTTTATATAAAAGGAGGTTTTAAGTCACCAATTTGAAATAATGAAATTTTTTTTTTCCAAAATTAAAATTAAATTGTATGTTTTTGCATTATTTATTTATTTTATGCAAAAAAAAAAAAATCTAGGGAGATTGGGGGAGGGGGCATAGGGGCCTCCCGTGGGAGTGGAGGGTATCTCCCTTGGCCCATGACTATAAATGTCCTAAACTATTCAATAAATGATACTATTTGGTGTTTTATTCAAATAAATGTTTAAAAAAATATTTTAATTACTTTTGTTACAAAATTTAAATTTTTCTAAAAAGACACCATTTTTAAATGCAAATTTTGATCATGTATTAGAGAGACAATTGATGAATCTAATTTTTTTCAGTAGACCTAAGATGAAATAATGATATACAATTAAAATTTTTACTCGGGATTTTGGGCCACAGTCTTTATTTTACCTCCAAAAATCACTAACTTACAAGTCAATAATTTTGAACAAAATTGGATAAATGAGGCATTTCTTTCCCCAAGCCATTATGAAGATACTGTATGTCAAAGTTGCTTTGTAGTCGCTTCAGAAAATCACTAAAATGCATTATTTCAAGTGACAATATCTATGGAACCCATTGGTATTTTTAACTAAAATTTTCGCAGTTATTATTTTTTTGATATGGACTGCAAGTGGTGTAAAAATAAACAAATTCTGAGTCGTAAGGGTGTCATGGTCTGGATGATTTCATATATTTTTACCCTACATACAACCATGGCCTACTATATAACACGGCCGGATTTGTTGCCTTGAATGCAAAAAATTAGTGGGCCGATTTTAGGTTTTTAGCTTTTGAATCAAAACCTGAAGATAATTCTGTAAAGACATTAATAATATTTAAATAATTTGCTCTTAGCTATAATTTTTACTATTACCAAAATTCTTAACCTTCAAACACTAAAACAGTTAGCTAATAATAAATCATGATTGCATTAAGCCGAATGAACTATCTATTTTAGCCATCAATTTTAATCTACCAAATCATAAAGTCTTAAAATTATTGGTTCAAACAACTAAAATTAACAAAAATGTTAGTAAATCGGCATAATTTTTAAATGTACACATTTACTGAAAGTATTTATATTACAAAAAGTTTAATTAAGTCAAGTTTCTTTTGTTTCTCAAAAAATATATATACATATACTATGTTGTTATGGGTTTATTCATTTGTCTTTTTTGGTTTGTCGAACTTTAAAGGCAGCAACTTCATTTTTTCTAATGTGTCCATTTTTTATTTGCTGCTCATTGTTAAAATATATGTTGGTAATAATTGTGTTTACCAAATTCCTTCCCCATTCCTCATGTTCTATACACATAAAATCACTATCACTTGGTTGATATTTTTCTAGCGCTAGCAAGGATGCATTTTTTATATCATGGGAATACTTTAATAACATTTTCTTTACAGTGTCCAGAATTATAAACCCATTACAAACATAGTTAGCTAATGCTTTGGAAGGTTTTGTTAAACCACCACCTGAAAGAATTTCCAGATATTCTGTTGAGACTTGATTGAAACTTAATGATTTCAGACAGTTAGCACAGTTAAATTTATCCTTAATCTTTTTCGAGATGTAACCAGATATATTGATTGCAACTTCGTAAGAGTCATGACAAAGCTCATTCGCTTGAATTTTATTGCTATATTTTTCCAATTTTATTAAAAGTTCATTTTTGTCAATTTTTGTATCAAGTTTAAGATTGCTCGTCCAACAATTGATATTGGCTTTAATTAAGGATTTCATGCATAATATCTTTTCAGAGCTTTGAACTTCACGTAAATTAACTAAAAATCTTCCACCGCTAATTTGTCGATATTTACTGAAATATCTTTCTAATGGATCAGTTTGAAACCTGCTAGTTAAAACATATTTATATCCTTCTGAAAATAAATCTTCCATTAGACTTGCAGTACCCTTCAGTGTTGTAATTAATGCATTTGTTTGAGCAGATAAAGTATACTTATTACATCTTTGAAACTGCAAGTTTTTCTATTCATTAATCCATGTAAAAACTCGAAAAAATTGTGACTTTTTGTCACCTGGAATAGCTGCATTACCAATCCTATTGTTTGTATTAAACATTACCTTTGAATAAGAAATAGTCCACCAAATATTAATAAGCCTTAGAAATCCAGCAGCTGCAGTTTCGTTTGGAAAATAGCTGATGATTGCAGCAGAGGTGGTTTCATCAAAAACATTTAAAGCTAAAGGAACACTTTGTTTGTTGTTTCCTGGATGTAAAGTTTGGGCAGACAATTTGAAAGCTTTTTTTAAGTTAGCAGGTAACAATTCATCTTTCTCATAAACATTATGCAATAAACTCCAAGAAATTTCACCAGCTTCCAAATGAATAATATAATCAAACTCAATAAAATCAAAAGGTGGAAATACAAACCGTTTTGATTTTAATAAATTATTTCTAATGTTTTTCAGTAAATGAACACTATCATATAAATTGTAAACCCGGTGTCCCATAAAAGTAAAATATATTTCATTATCTTGTTCACCAAACTTTAAACGTAGAATTTTGAATGCTGAAACATTTGTTGCATGATTGTCAGTTATTATAGCTCGTACATTAAAAGATGCTTTATATAAAGTTTCTAACGTTTCTTCTATATGTGAACTAATCATAGAACCAGAAATTTGAAATTCTGGACAAGCCTTAATTACAAAGGGGATAGATTCTTTCAAGCTAACCACCATGAACACAACTATACCAGAATAGAAATTACCATCATCATCAGCACCAATTTAACTTCCTCCATGATATTGGACACCTTTTTGTAAATACATAATCATTAAAACAACACAGTCAGCACTAATACTACCATTTTCCAAAAGTAATAATAATCCTGATAATGGATCAATGCCACCATTTGAAAGTGATTTTAAATAAGACAACGAAGGAAGTGGAAACTCTTCTAATAGCAAAGTATAAACCTGTTTTGATGTATATCTGTGCATTAGAGAAAATCTAATGATTTCATTTGTGTAGATTAGACGTCCTTGTGGTTTATAAAGAGATAATTTATATAAATCTGATAATATACTTTTTGATACGTTCTTTGCAACTTCATGCATATAAGAAACAAAATTAACAAGCATACTAACACTGGTCAATTTACAAACACTGCCTTCTCTAAACCATTTAGATAATGGAACTGGGATACCTTTCATATGTAGCTTTACATGTAAGTCTTTATCAATCGTAATGCTCTCAACGTTAGGAGCAACATCCCCGTCGTCAAAATAAACTCGAAGAAATAACACACGGTTATCAACTCGTTTAAATGAAAATCCTGCTGGACAAAAACTTTCATTAAGATCTATAATGCTTTTAATTGTATCATGTTTTCTAAAATCGTATGTTTCATCGAGCAAAAGATGAGAATATATACGAACTTCAGGGGGCTTACATAAAGCTGAGCTTGATTGAATTAAAGATGGCTTTGATAGGTTGTTTTGGTTGGTAATAATTGTTGGTATAGGATTTTCGCAATAATTTAATGTTATACGTTTACCTCTTTTCAAATATTTATTATCAAAATGATCGATACATATAACTAAGTTTTCTGTGGGGCTCCAATCAGCTCAGTTGACAAACTTAATCCAACAATTTTGAAGATCTAACTGATTGCAATCAGGAAAACTAAACACAGTTTTGTATGTTATGTGGTTGCTGTTACTGGAACATTCTTCAATCTTTCGCTTATAATTACTTCTACAACCAACAACACAACACTTTTTTGGCATTGCAAAATAAAGTATTACTTGAATTAAAAAAATTTAATTTAAGATTGTTAAATCGGTTTATTGTAAACTTCAAACTCAAGTTTTTTCGACCCACTAATTTTTTGCGTTCAAGGCAACAAATCCGGCCATGTTATATAGTAGGCCATGATACAACTGAAAACTAGATTGTATATATATATATATATATATATATATATATATATATATATATATATATATATATATATATATATATATATATATATATATATATATATATATATATATATATATATATATATTATATTATATATATATATATATATATATATATATATATATATATATATATACATATATATACATATATATACATATATATATATATATATATATATATATACATATATATATATATATATATATATATATATATATATATATATATATATATATATATATATATATATATATATATATATATATATAAACAACTGAGTCTTTAAAATATAATATATATAATATATTATATTATATATATATATATATATACATATATATATATATATATATATATATATATATATATATATATATATATATATATATATATATATATATATATATATATATATATATATAAATAACTGAGTCTTTAAAATATAATATATATATATATAATATATAATATATTATATTGTATATATATATACATATATATATATATATATATATATATATATATATATATATATATATATATATATATATACATATATATATATATATATGTGTGTGTGTATATATATATATATATATATATATATATATATATATATATATATATATATATATATATATATATAAACAACTGAGTCTTTAAAACAACTTTTACAAATGCTAATATAATTCTACGTTAGCATTGATAAACTGATAGCATTGATACACACTGATTGATATCTAGCATTAATACACACTGTAATAGTCTGGACGCCACATCTATTTTTTTCTTGGAAATGAAGTGGACATTACAAAAACTAATCAAACAGTTTAAGGTTGATGTCTTAAATGAGAAAAACTTTACGTACCTTTTTGAATATGCCTGAATATACCTTTTTGAATAAAGGGTCAAATTTGGGACCTTATTTGGTACTGGTGACGTCACGCTGATACATATTTTTTTAACTAACTAAAAAATAAATATTTACGTCAAACGTTAGCTAATCTCTTGATAAAACCTTACAATAAATGATAACATCTTGAGAAAAACTTACGGGCAATTCTAAGAGTGATTAAAGGGTCAAATTCAGCCTTTATTTGGTACTGATGACGTCACGTTAATAAGTTTTTTGAAAAATATATATTTACGTTAAACAATTTTAATAAAGGTAAACTCTTCCTAAAAAAAATCTCGTGAACAGATTCTTAAGAGAGAAAAATACTAGGGCCGAAGTTCCCTAACCAACTTGCAAAATGATTTATCCTCAGCTGGGTTAGTGCATTATTTAGATATTGATTTATTCGAACGGCATGGTTATATTGCTTTCCCTTCAAAATACGCTCGAATGAACTTTTACCTTAAAAATAAAATTAAAAATATCTTTCGTACTTTGACCTTCTTCGGTCAAAAAAAATCTGCTGGAATATTTGCTACGTAATACAATGTCTATAAAATTTATGGAGATAAAGAAATCACACACCGGATCTATCAGCTTTAATTATCCAGTCTTGTAATCCGGCATCATTAAATCTCATACCAATAACAGCTAGGAAAATACTAGATATGTGAAATGCATCCCTTTAGAGAACAACGAACCTTTTAAGATATGACTTGGGTTCATTAGAATTTCCATCGCTTTTGCATATATCCATTACAACGTCATTTTCTGAGAGACCAAGATTCTCGGCTTTAGCTTTGGACTTGAGCAAAACTTTAAGCACTGTGCTCAAGTTAGTAGGCGATGAGTTAATAGCAGGAAGATAGCTAACAGTGTGGATATCTTCTGGTTTCCTTTTAAGTGTAATTAGGTAGTTAAACCCAGTCCAATTTAGGATATCATTAGAAAAATGATATAATAAGATCCAAAATAAAACTTCTCTAAAACTACCAGTCTGGTTCTTCACGATTATGCTTTACGTACAACTCTTTCTCAATTGCTTTAAAAGATCTTTCACTTTTTCTTGAAATTATTTCGTTAACCCCATTTTGTGTACTTGATCAAGGTTTTGTAACTGAATGTCAATACATTTTGTGACGAGCATAGAGTTTCTGTTTTAGAATTTATATCGCTGTTGTCCCAAACGAAGGTCACAAATTTTGATGGCTGGAGAACAGAAGGGCAAAAACTTTTTAAAATTTGATTTTGCATCGCATTTTGTGCAAGAGATGTTTCTAAATAATTTACTTTATCATAGGAAATTCCATGGCTAAGTAAATTCCTAATTTACTTAGCCATCTAACTAACTTTTTCGATCCAGTTTTTGGTTTGGTACTTAACCCAATTAACACTTGTTTAGAGCATCCATGATGGCTGCTTGTTACGTTACAAATTATATATTCACAAGAGAGTTTATTTTGACAATTCCTCTTTTACTAACTCTAGTACAAAATAGAACTCGTTTTCATTAGGAGGTCATTCAAAGTATGTTTTTTTTTTCATAAACAAAACCTCGCTGCGAATCTCTTGTGCAACATGATCGATAAGCTGTTCACTCGGTTTTGAATTATTCTTTTATTCTAGATTCTAAATCTTTTTTAAAAAACTTTAATGATTTTTCCCTTCTCCATGGTATTGATGTATAAGAAAGAATAGTCGTATTTTGGTGACCACAACTGAACAGACTCGCTGAATTCTGCAACTACAGCATCCTGCAAAGTCATTTTATCTGATATCTTTGTTCTGTCTGTGCAATTTTCTTAGTAAAATTCAATTAGCTTGCTTGAATAAATAATCTCTAAATTGTCTAACACGAGTTCTTTCACAAAGTCAAAGAGCAAACGCATAAATGCATCTTTTATTGAAATAAAAGGAACTTTTTGGGGTCTCGTACAGTTAAGGTAACAAGACCGATGACATATAACTCTAAAAAAATTATGGTTTGCCATTCTGTTCCCAATACACTAGCCATGAGTTAGCTTTACTTACATTATTTTCTTTTAACATGTTTGAAGCACTTTCCGTTACGCATTTTGTAAGCATTTTATATCCTTTCCTATCTTTATTAGTCTTTTTGCGATAGCAAATGCAACATTCTTCATTTGCTATAATTTTTCCTGAAACAAGTGAATTATTTTAATTTTGAAGTAGTACTTAAACCATTTTAAAAAGTGAAAACTGAGGGTAGGATTTCTAACTGAGAATAGGTTTCCTAATTTTCTTTGCTTCGCAAGAAAATTAGGAAACCTATTCTCAGTTAGAAATCCTACCCTCAGTTTTCACATTTTTTTAGTAAATAGTTTTTGAAAAGTAACGTAAACAAAGAGCGGGAACAAATTTTCTTTTTTAGATTTATTAAATTAAAACTATTTTATAATTTTAATACAATATTAAGAAACAAATATAAACAAATTTATTTCTAAATAAGGTTTGCGAAATTTTAATTACATAGATTTTAGTAATTATATTTAAAACAGCTAATTTTACAAATTTTTAAATGTCAATAATTTGTGAAAACTAAATTAATGCTTTGCGGTATTCGATTTATAAACAACATGGCGTACCGTCAAAGGGAATGACTTTGATAGGTTTTCGAGCATTTTTGCAAATAAACTCTTTCGTATAAAATTTGTTTTGAATTTTATTTTTTCGATATAACATTATAACTTTCCTTTATAGGATTCCATTAAATACAATTTTTTTTTTTGTTTCTAATATATATTTTTTAAATCAAAAATGTTATCAATCTCAATCCTTCGTTGGGGGTGACTTTGATAGTTTATTATTTCTTAAAAGCTTATTAATTAAGTCACCTTTACAAATGCCATTAATACTTTTTTTTGGAGTTTTACTAAATTACGACACAATATTCACAATATATTTTTAAGATTTTACCGATAAAGTTATAAATTTAGACAACAAGATTGGTTATCGATTATATCCACAGAATGTACAAATAAAAAAAATTTGATGTTAACTAGGGCTGTACCGGATTTATTTTTTTCAAATCCGGCCGGAGCCGGATTTGCCGGATTTCTACTGACAGATCCGGCCGGAATCGGAGCCGGAGCCGGATTTCAAAACAAAACTACAGGAGCCAAAATCCTGTACATCCCTACTTGGTGTTGAGCATGGTCAACAATGTGGACTATTCAGAATACCAAGTGACTGCTGTTTTCTGTTAAACTTCATTGTTGTTATTTAAAAAGTTTTATAGCAATTTCTATATATAAATTAATAGAAATTCTAAAGAAATAGGCCATATGTTTTAAAAGTTTATAGTAATTCTGTTGAACTTTTTTTCCGGAATTTCGTCACTCCGCCACTGTAGTGGATCATTGTGTCTATTTATTTCTGGTTCTTTCGGATATTTCCTTAGTTGAGTTTTAATGCCTTTTAGTAATTGTTGTTTATGTGCCCTGCCACCAGCGGACGTAGACTGAATAATTTTATCAATAAATTGCCAGAGTAATGATGATGATGATGTAGAAAAATTATTAAGCCCGGCTTATTTTGGTGGATTTTCTTCAGTTTTGTCAATTTTCTGTTCAGCATGCTCAGATTGACTTCAATCTTGTTTTTTTAGCTGTCAGTGTTGCCTGTAATGAGGAGAATTTAGTTTTAAATTGTGAGTCAACCAGCCTCGTCAGTATATAAAGAGGTTTCTTTTTTCAATGCTTTTAAAACGCTCATCCAATCACTTGATTAGGGTTGACATCATAGTCTTTATACCTGCATCATTGTAGAATATCGTCTGTCTTCCCTTCAGAATTTTTTGTTGCGTTGTTGTTTGAAATTAGACTAAGCTTATTAAATTATAAAGAAATATAAATACAAATACCAAAACAAATATGAGGTTCATAAAATATAGAATTACAAAAAAAATTGATTTTTATAAATAAAATATTAGGTATACATGTAAACACGGGCAAAAAAAATGTAATAAATATTTGACAAAATTCAAAACTCCGGCTAAAATTATGCCGGATTTGCTAAATTTTTGCCGGAGCCGGATTTGGGCCGGATTTGTAAAAATGGCCGGATTTCGGCCGGAGCAGGAGCCGGAGCCGAAATCCGGTACAGCTCTAATGTTAACATGCTAAACATAACAATATATTTTATCAATAGCATCATAAGAGTAATTGTAATTAGCAGTTATAAAATAATACTAACAAAAAAAGTACTAATTGTATATAAATATCAAGTACTATAAATATCAATGTACTTTACTTGTTTAACTCCATTTAATATAAAAAAAAGATACCAAAACAAAACAAAAAAAAAATCACACTTTCTGAAGATTTTACAACAAATGGTGTTAAAACCGGACTAGGATTTAGTTGTTCTGTGTTGTACCTTTAAACTGCTGCAGGGTACTAATTAGTAAAATCTTAAATGAAATGTTCTGAGTTCAATCATTTAGTGAATATTTCTGACATCTTCAGATATCCGATTCACTTAACAGCGTATCCGATTCACTTAACAGGTTTTATCAATACTTTTTACATTTGCAAACTCTAGTTGATAACTATTATTTGTCTTCGGTGGTTGAAGATGTTGCAATATACTTGAGAAATGTACAGTAAAAACGATGTCTTCTGCAACAAGATAATTAAACAGATTTTTGGATCCTTCTACTTTCCGTAGAAACCTATAAAGAATTTTAAGCGTTGGTAAAACCTCTATAATCTGTCTTGTAATTTAATTTCAATTTCACACTTTTTTTAGTTTTTCCTGGGTGGACAACAATACGCCAACTCCCTGTAGTTAGAAAATTGTTGACATGACAGGTTTTTCTTGATTAGACTCAACATCTAAATAAGATTTAAATTAACATCTTTCTTGTCATTGCTTTCATTGGGATAACCACTACTACCAATTTCAATGTCTTCTGATTCAGACAAAGATTCAAAACCCTTTGAAGCTATTTTTGATTTTTTGATTTTAATTTGTTGGTTTTTGGATTTTTTATGTTTTGATGTTTGTCTATAATCAATGTCATTTATGTGATCAATTTTCCTGATACAATTTCTTTCCCTCTTTTTCTATTGCTTTTTCCTGCTACATCATTGCCACAGTACTTCATGATAATATCTATTACACCCTCATTTAATATTTCTTTTATGGTCTCACCGCCATAGTCTTTATTGACATCTGGAAGCCGTTTTAATACTTTTTATCAATTCAATGGATACATGCCTAAAGCTTCGAATCCCGCTTTTAAGTAGTCTGCTTTCAGAGTATTTTACAACTTTGTCAAGAGCGCTGGGAAAAGGTTTTTTGGAATTGAATCCTTGATTCGAGATTCTCTTCTCCATGTTTGTAAAATCTTCTTTCACTAAACTTTCAAGGATCTGAAAACAGCAATATCAAGCGGTTGTAGCAGATGTGTGGTATTTGGGGTTAAACATGTAAACCGGATATTATTTTCCAAGCATGCTTTGATGATATCAGATGAGAAATGTGAATCAATAACAACTTTATTTCCTGTAAGAGATGCTGTTTCAGGAATAAAAATTTCCCTGAACTAACGTTCAAATGTTTTAGAGTCGAACCAACTAGATTTTGGACTGTCAAATATAGTTCCAGGTCGGCCACCATTTTTCCACTCTATGTAGCAGTTTGCAGCTTTATAAACAACCATGGGAGAAAGAAACTGACCGCTGCACTCCCACAATACATAATACTAATAGCTCCTTTAGAATGCTGCATTTTTCTTTCTAAGCGTTTAAGGCCACGTTTACAAACTACTGTTTTAGAGCCATTTTGTCTCATCATAGTTGAATATATTGGTATTAGGAATGTCTTGAAGTATAATGAAACATGAACATACTGAATTTCAATCAATTTCAGCTCTTGCTGGTTTTATGTTGTCAGCAAATGTCTTTTTTTCTACAAATTTTGAAACATTAAATAATCACAATAAGATTGAAATATCAAATATTGAAAATTATTTGAAAAAGTGAAAAACAAAATTGTTTTGAATTGGGAGTAACCAAAAATGAATGGTAAAAAAGTGGTATTATAACTGGAATATACCACTTGAACATCTAAGTATAGATGCTTAGAAAAAAATTTATTTCAAAAAATTAAAATCATATTTTTTTGGCATTTTTTTGGTAAATGTAAAAATCGTTATTTTGTTGTTTAAGCCATGTTAATCCAAACACATTTGCAAGTGTTAGAATCACTTAACAATCATTAAAAATATACAAAGAATATAGTAATGTATTAGA